AAAACAGGAAGGTAGAGGCATTGGGGGGGGGGGGAAACTCAAGTTTTTTCCAAGGGTGTGTAGTGGGATTGTGTGGCCCTCCATGATCTCCCTTGGGGAGCAATGCAGTGTCCAAACCTCTGACAGTAGCCCATCCCTGCACTATACCATAGCACTGAAAGAATCAGTGAGTAAGGGCTGCAAAGTACTTTAAAGTCTGAGAAATAATTTTGTGCAGTATTTCCGGGGAGAAGAGGTGCTGAGTTTCCCAATTAGAGTGAAATGCTTTCTTTACTTGCACCTTGTACAGCCATCTATAGAAATAATTGTTAGATATGGTGATGACCAACAAACTGGGATTTTAAAAGGAATGGACAGATTTTAGAGCTCTGTTCTAAGAATAGCTATTAGCCAGAAGAGTTAAAAGAGGGAATGTCCATGTTGATACCTCTGGCAGCCCAACCAGGTATGGCATTAACTGTGCAGGTTTAAAAAATACAAAAAGAAATAACATCTACTTGGAACACTACCAGATTTATAGCTGTTGGGGACAGGAACAGAATCCCTTTCCTTTACACAGCAATCCTGAAAAAATATTCTTCCTTTATGTCTTTGCTTTGGAAGAAAATTGCCCACTGTCAACAATGAGAGATTTCCTCCTAGCGCAGCTTCTGAAGAGCCAATTTCCCTCAAGATCGCCACAGGGAAAAGGGTTAACTCCCTCTAACACACATTTACTATTATTATTCCACTCAGTCCCACCAGCAGATGATATTTGCATTTTTAAAATCAACAAAACCCTTCTGCACATTAACTATATAGTGTATTTAATATCATAAGTATTATATTCTCTAGGCATCTGGAGGCATGTTGTCTTCCACTATGTCTTTTCAAAACCCTTTTTGCATCCTCGTACAATTTCACAGGCATCACGACTCTGCCAGCTCTGAGTTCACCTAAACCAGTCTCCCCTAACTTGCTTTTCTCAGGAGGCGGTGGATAATACCCATTGTCTCTAATCAACACAGTTATAGTTCAGTGCGTCTGGAAGGCACCAGGCTGGGGAAGGCTGACCTAAATAAAAGATTTTGAATTTCTATGGAAAATACTAAAAATCCTAACATTGTAAAATCCTAACATTGTAGTCAAAGGACATAAAAGCTCCCACGGTTGTTTCCTGTTCTGCTTGTGGTTTTTGTAGACTCAGAAATTGCCCTGAACCACAGAATGACATTGCCACAGAAGGCATGAGGGGGAGCATGGTTGATTGAATGCAATAATTATCACTTCTAGGCAAACCATAAAAGACTTTATACATCTCTAATCCATTCAGTGTCAACATATATTTGAATTGTTAGGGTCCTTTCATGTGGAATTACAGCTGCTTTGTTTTTAATCTTTATTCTTTCTCCACACTCCTAATGGCTGTTTCTGATTCTCTTCCAAATAGATGCTCCCCATGTATTTCTTTTAATGCCCTTCATCTCTCCTGCCAGTAACTACAGATTACATAAACAATATTATAGTTCACAATGAGAATGCTGTTGGCTTATTTTAGATGACACCTTTTAAAAACATACATGCATTATATGTCAAAGAAAAAAAAATCACTTGTACAGAAATCCATGCGAGTGATCCATCTGAACCAGTTGAGAACATTTGGGTAAAGTTAAACAGAGAAATAAAAAACAATCAAACACTGTGGTAGGAGTTTACTACAGGCCACCAAAACAGGAAGAGGTGATGGATGATGCTTTCTGAAAAACAAATCTCAGAAATCTCCAAGATACAAAAACTGGAAGTTTTGACAGACTTCAATTATCCTGATATCTGCTGGGAAACTAACTCTGCTAAGTATAGGCTTTCCAACAAATTCCTGTTGTGACTTGCAATATCCGCTTTCAAAAGGTGGAGGAAGGAACAAGGAGATCAGCAATCTGGGTTTGATCATAACCCTCAGGGGGGGAGGTAGTCACTGAATTGAAAGCAGTTGGTACTTGAAGGGGAAGTGACCATGAAATGTCAGAATTCATTATTGTGGACAGGCCAAAGAACAGTATAGTCAAACATGAACCTTGGATTTCAGGAAAGTTGATTTTTACCATGGTCAGGCAAATACTGGTTAGAATCTCAATGCTAAAGGAAAAAGATATTGAACGTGGATGGGATTTCATGAAGAAAGAGTTGCTAAAAGCACAACGAGAATTCCATCTTAGAAGAAAAATGGGAGACATCTGGAAAAGCCAGCTAAGCAGCTTCATTTATATATCGCTTCATACCACGCTATGGGATGTCTAAGCGGTTTACAATGTGTAAGCTAATTGCCCCCAACAAGCTGGGTACTCATTTTAGCAACCTCGGAAGGATGCAGGCCTGAGTCGAGCCTCAGCCCTGGCTGGTATTGAACTCGCAACCTTGTGGTCTATGAGTGAGTGGCTGCAGTACAGGCATTTAACCACTGAACCACCAGTAAGCTTGCACAGTAAGTTTGAAGAAGTGAAAAGAAAAAAAAGAGTATGTATAAAGAATGGAAGAAAGGATGAATCACCAAGGAAGAATATAGATATTTAGCCCAAGCTTTCAGGAATAGTGTAAGGAAAGCTAAAGCTCAAAATGAGCTGAGATTGGCTAGGGAAGCAGGAATCAACAAGCAGAGTTTTTGTTCAAAACAAGAGAATGATCAAGAAAATGGTAGAACCATGGTTCAAAAAAGATGGTAAAATGCTGACACATCACAACAAAAAATCAGAACTACTCAATATCATTTTTGCTTCAGTTCCCACCCCCCACCTGCAAAATGGACTGTGTGCTTCCATGCATCAGCAGACATGTTGGCAATGAATCTGGATTGCAAGTCAAGTTTGATATGGACTTTATCAGGAATCATCTACTTAACTCAAATGAGTGGTGCACATCTACTTCCCTTTGCATCAGAGCAGTTGCTTGAACCAGCTATTGGTACTTTTGTTTAATTGGGAAGGCATCATTTATCTGGATGGTCAGCAAACTAGATTTTTTACAACTCCCAGTTTCCCCAGCCATAGTTCAAAAGAGTAACATTTGTAAGATTGGCACAGCTACACCCAGGACTTAAGAACACAAATGTCCTCCTGAATAAGATCAAAGAAATGAGACCCTAAATGAAACCAGGAAACAAGCCTGTCAGAAGCCTTCAGAAAACAATTAAGTAAGATGTAAAGCCAAGAATCTACTCCTGATATTTGCCACCAAAAACTGGTTTTCAACTGAGTAGAAGCAAGTGATGGGAATATTATCAGCTTCTTGCAAAGCTCCTCATCTTAAAGTCAGCAGTACAGGATATGCTTGAATCTTCTAGTGAAGTGTTATGCTATCAAGAAAATCAAGGGGATTAGCTACAGAGGCAAGTAAAATACAAAGGTCCAATTCGACCAGGGCTCTCTCTCATAGAATGCTGCACTAGTCACTGAACCCTAACATGTATAGAACCAGATATGTTTAGCCGGATGTTGGCTTTCAGATGTTGGCTTTCAGGGCATCCATCTAATTCCTGATTTAAATAAATGAAGACTACTAGTGCTAGTGACAGAGATTGTGTTTGCATAATATTCACCTACTTCAATGGATAACAAAATTAGACAGTGGTTCATTCTGTTGATTCCCTTTGCATCTCAGGAGTGTATCACATGAGCCCTGTTCTCACTGCGATCGCATTAGCAAAAGGAATCGGGTACATACTGGTTTGGGAGCACTGTGTGTCGCACATCTCTTGAGTAGCACAACTAGGCCCTTATGCTGTTTTCTATACACCTCTCTAACCCTGCCTTCATGCCTTATGCCCTGTCCTTGTTTTTTGGGGGGGAGGGGTTATGCACAATTCTAGAGGTATGCTAATACATTTTTTAAAAAAAGAAAAAGAAAAAAGAAAATAAAAGAAATTTTAAAAACAAGAAAACAGCCTACTTGGGAATAGTGAGCACTTGGGAGTTGGGGAGGGGGAGAGGAAGAGAAACTGACATGACGTGACCGCCCAATCCGGAACTGCTGCAGGAGGAACTTATCATACCTGAGGACTAATGCTACAGCAGTGTGTTTGGGAACTTATTGATGCCATGTAAACTTATTGATGCTAGTCATGTAAACCCACTAGCTAGCA